CAAACTTCTGGAAACAATCTTTCAGTTTTCAGCTTATCTGAAATACATGAAAGAATACACAAACTAAGGGTTCTCCCTGGTGGCACAACAGGTCAAGTCTCAGCACTATGAAGCTATCAGCAGCTACTGCAGCACACAAGTATGATCCCCTGCCAGGGAGCCGACCCACAGGGCGCAGCAGACCTCTCCTATCTCACCCACTGCTCCCCTCAGCAGTGTATTTCAGTCCATCTGCCTGTTCTGTTCCCTACCCTGTCTCTGGTGAATCCTCTCACCTGCTGCTTACCTCCCCAACCCTGCACCTCTGGCCTACACCCCAGTTCTTGTATGTACAAATAAATATTTTTCCAAAAGTACACACACTACGGTAGAACTATTGAATATTTCTGGTAATGAAGGAGAAAGGACTTGCTTCTTGACACGTCAATAACTTTCTCTAAGAAATTCCAGAGGACAGGAGTTTAAATCATAAAAGTATCAGAAAGAGAATGGCAAGAGTAAACTTTTTAGGAGCAACGTAAGAACAAGAAAAGGAATCAGTGAGGTAAATGAGAACTATCACCTAGTAGCTAACCCTATAAATAGGCAGTTTGCATCAAAAACGGTAAGCATGACCAGAACAGGCAGAGAAAAACATTTAGGAGAGTACAGGGTGAGTAACAAGATAAAGGCAGCTGGAACTTAAGAGACATTTTGTGGGTACAACATTTCACAGTCCTTATGCCTCAAGCAATTCCAACTCTAGACAAATCACTTTTTCATTCTAGGTACAGAGATTTGCCCTTGTGGCTTGAGAGAGGACAGGAGCCACAGAATCCTCTCCAGTTCTCTAGTCCTTCGAGGGTACCACCTCAACACCAGGGGGCTTTATTTATGGATCAAGGATCTTGAAATGGAACTTACACAGAAACATGGAAACACACTATCTTGGATAGTCAGTGGAACCAATTGGGATTCCTTCCATGCAGTATTTGTGATTCAGAGATGTGTGCCTAAAAGCTGTAATACAAAAATTACCACTAAAAGTTGGGTTTAGAACGAGCAAATCCGGACAGTTCAAATACCCAATGTATTACCAGGAAACCGCCCACACGAAAAGATAACGCAGGAAACCGCCCACACGAAAAGATAACGCAAACAATGGACAGATCAACCCCTGAACCGCCAGGGTGCACAGATTACCTTGCTACTTTGAATAACACAAATGGATTCAATGAATGTAAAATTGTCACAAGATTCCCAGTTCAGAGATGAAAATTTTTTTCTCAAGCATGGGGAAGTCTCAGAAAACTCTGTTTAAGATTTTACTGAAGAAACAATGTACCAAATTATGCCTGGGCTAAAATCTGCTAGCAACACCAAGTCACTTTAATTCCACTGCTAAGAAAAACATAAGGTTTCATTGGTCATCAAATGAGCTGGAGATTTATGAAATGATATATTAGGTCAATGGAAAAACTTAACTCTACAAATTAAATAATTAAAAAAAAAGCTTTATGAGCATTGATGTTGCAGGTTTCGTTCCAGGGAAATTAAGAAGTGTGCATTAATACTAATTGGACAACTCAATAAAAAGTTTAATAGCACAGAACTGTGTGGTTAACAAAGAACTGAAATGATCTTGAATTTATGTAAAATCTTCCCTTAACTGTACATCTGATGTTCCTATCCTTCACCCCCTCCACTGATATCCAAGCGAAATAGTAAGTCTTGATTTTTTTCCCCTCAAAGCAATCTACTTGATTCCATTGTTTCTTCTCCTTATAATCAAACCTCAAGGCTTCTGTTCTTACACTATTTTCATCTTTCACAAATTCCACTGCCCTTCACCAATGGAAAAGAACACAAGGACCCACTTGAAAATAGGGATTCATTTTTTCCCTGCTTTCTGACTAGCCCTGACACACTAGCTCTGACACTGCCTAGCAAAGAGAAGCAGTTCAATAAATATTTACTGGGAGAAGAGAACTGTTCATACTGTGCTTGTCTTAGGACAAGGAAGAGACAAAGAACTCAGCTGAGTGGCAACTTTCAGTCCCTTTTGCAGAGTTCTCCCCTACTCAAGAGAGCAGCTGTAAGCCCAAGACTCCACTGAAACAGGAATAAAGTAGCTCTGCAAAAGAGGCTTTCGCAGCACATCTGTAAGGGATCAGGGGTTCTCTCTAGGAACTATTCTCAATTTCCCCAGGGAGTGAAGTATACACGGTTCTTGTGCATGGGTCAGCTTGAGGTGAATCAGCTTATTCTGAATTCGCTGCTTTCAGAATAAGCCTGTTACTAATAATCTTAGCCGGACAGAACTTTTATTATTTCTCTAGTAGTTTTCACCAGTTTCACCCAAAATTAATTCATTTCTGGGGGCAAAAAGCACCCCTTCCCTCACTTCCATAAGAAATTCAAAATTAGCTGTACTTTCTTCAACTTGCCAACATCAACTACTGTCTGGTATAAATGTCTATCTACTAGAGTCCACCTACCATCTTAGGCCTATCTCAAGTGCAAAAAAAGTCCTTTTTAACTAAAGAGACCAAAAAGTCTGTTTAACCAAACAACTTCGACATTGACAAAGGAGTAGTCATCTGACAAAACCTGTGACCAGCCTATGTCCTGCACATTATATTAACTATGATATCTAATTTTCTCAGACCAAATGTAGCCAAACTTGTGGTCAAGGACCCTGTTTCCCAAAGTGAACCAGCACACTAATACCAACCCAGAGATAAGGAAATTAAGATGGAGGTGGGGTGGAAAACTTTTCATTAAGAATAGAGAATGAACAGAAACTTACTTCTTTGCTATCTTACATTCTAAAACACCTCTGTAATTTGTATATAGTAGTAAAATCTGATTCAAAGCAATGCGAAACACTCTGGAAGTTAGTGGTTTATATTTAAATTAATGTACTAAACATTTCTTTTACCCATATTAACCCTTTTTTCTAATAAAAAAAACTTTTCCTATATTTAAGTCAATCAGCAACCATATTTAGATAAATAATTTACCTTAGGAGACATGGGAAGTTATCTACTGAAAAGCATAACTGGTGAAACTATGTAATACATACAAGATTATTACTGTACTTTCTCCACCTTGGCGTGTGTTCTAAATCTCCCAAGTTAAAAAGGCATAGTACATTAAAAGTAACTTTTATATGTTAACTTATGCCAAGTGAAGAAAATGGCATAGCTCAATCTCTTTTGTTGCCGCATGTAAAAGTCAGGACAAAGCAGGGAACTTTTCTCCTTCAGCTTGTTTTTATCCTTTTTCCAGGCCTTTATGTGTACCCGCTGAAAGATGCCAATGGGAAAAATCAGCTTATCAAGTACAATGGTAATGAAAACAGTCCAGGCAAAATATTAGCTAGTTTTCCAGAGACTGTAGAACATTCTTAAGATCTGACTTCATCCAGAGTCCAGAACTGTGCTGGATGAGAGAACTGTTTCTGTATACCGTTCCCTGACATAACATAAAGAAGGAAACAAATCTGACTTGGGGTGAACAGGTCTACACCTGCTTATTAACTGGTTGTCTAACACTTCCCCCTTCCCAGCAGCCCTTGTACCCCTGAAAAATTATATTCGCCAATAACATTTACTACTCCAAACCATCCATGAACTGTCAAACTGGAGTCCAGCTACTAAGAGGTAAACAATCGGAATGGAGCTGACAGTAAATGTTAAGGGATCTTTTATAGTGCGCCTTTGCACGGTTTTATGGGAAAGGAACTACACCTCTCCAGTTACAATTTGGGCGCTTCATAAAAGGTATAAACACTGCCCTCCACATTTACAGCAAACAACTGCGACTTTAAAGTATAATTAGTTGTTGAGGATATAGACATCATTTGGCTTCCTGGGGGCGCAAGTTCCACCCGTTGATTCACCATTCTATTAAACCTGATTTTTATTACTCTCAAGTCAAAGCCTTTAAAATTAGGCCCGGAGGCCTAAATTAACACTAAGTGGAGTGATCGTAAGTCTTGGAAGTCTGCGCTAGCGGCAAACTGTAGACCTGATAGAAGCGTGTTCAGGCCTAGCAAATCCTCATGGGCTGGCATAGCAGGGAACCACTGCAAATTTGCTAGAAGTGATTCCCAGGCTGATCGAGATACATCCCAATGCTCACGAGGAGCCCTCACCTGGTTGAACTCCTCGTCAGCATATATATCAATCAAGTCCACTCCTTCTGACATGGCTCCGGAAGGATGATCGTGAGCCCGGAGAATGGACAAAGTGAAAAGGATGCCACTGCGGTACCCAGAAAAAGGCAGGAGTTAGCAGGCTGGAGGGTCCCGGGCTGCAGGAGGGCAATGGTTGCCACCCTCCCGTCTCCAGAGACGCAGCATCCCGGCAGCCGAGCTCGGCCCCACCCGCTCCGCTCCGCCCCGCCCCCGGCCTCGCGCCGCCCCTCGCTCTCCCAGGTCGCCCGGGCTCGCGGGACTCGCTGCCCATCACCCTCGGGCCCGACCCGAGTGGCGCCGCAGCTGCCCGTGGCGCGACAGGAAGGTCCAGGCCTCTGCTCCTAAGGGCCCCGTCGGCGCTTCCGAAGAACGACGGCGCGCAGCCCGCAGCCCCGGCCCGCCGCACCTGTCTAGGGCCCAGCGTGGCGCCAGCTGGAGTCCCCGGGAGTCCCGCTCCGCTCCCCACCCAGGCCCAGTCCTCGCCCCCGGCGAGGCCCGCCCCGCTCCCACCCCACAAACCCGGCCCAGCACCCTCGGCCCCCTCCCTCAGAGGCCCGCGCCTCCCTCCTCCCGCTGACTCCCGCTGCCCCAAACTCAACCGACCCCCTCCCCGCCTCAGCGCCGGCCCGGAGCCCTCTTCCGGCCCAGCCGGCCTTCGGTCGCGCGCCCCCGTTACCGGGAATATGGCGGCGGCGCTGGCGAGTCCGGACTAGGCCCGAAGCGCGCGAACCGCTCTCAGCCCCAGGTCCCGCCCCCCTTCACTGGCGTCACACGCACAGCCACTTCCGCCACAACGCACGGACGCTACTTCCGGCTCAGTTCAGTAGCGCCGAAGTCTACGGGTATAGTGTCCGGAGTCCCCGGAAGAGGCCGGAGTGTGGGCTTCCGGCCCTGGAGGGAAAAATGGCGGTGGTCGCTGTGTTCCCGGCTTTGACGCGGGTGAGCGCACCGTGGAGGCTTTAGGGTTCTGGGCTGGCCACAGCGAGGATTGGGTCGCGGCTTCCCTTGCAGTCTTGGGGACCGCGAGGAGTGTCCAGCTGTCTGCCTGGTGGCTCCACGCAAGGGCAGACCCAAGGAGAGGTCATCTTGCAGTGAAGTAGGTCGCTCCCACCGCTTCCTAAACCTAGTTTGTGTCTGTTGTGGTACGTTGACCGGTTAGTCTTCTTGGGATGCCTGATTAGGATTTTACCTGTTTTCCAACTGATGGTAGCCGGACCACCTCTGGGCGCCCCAGGTGTTTTCTAATACCTGTGGGTGATTTCATACCAGATCGTGAGATGATTGTTACCTATTAATGCAGACGGTTCACACTGCAAAACGTCTCTTAGCTGCTTTTGCAGCAGCTCATATTTTTTTATATGTTGTATGTTTTCGTTTGTCTCGAGATATTTTCTAATTTCCCTTTTGGTTTCTTCTTTGAGCCATTTAAACCATTGTTCAAAAGCAAGTGTGTCATTTGATTTTCACATAATTGCGAACTTTACTGTTTTCCATCTATTGATTTTATTTTCATTTCATTGGGTTCAGAAGGGAGACTTGGGGATGGTTTTCCATTTACCTCTGCCAGTGTTTGGTTCATAAATTTGAGTGTTCTGATTGGTGTTGGGATGCATATATAATTGTTACAGCTTCCTTGGTGAATCAACCTGTTTGTCATATAATGCTCTTGTGACTGTTTTTGACTTAAGATCTCGTTTGTCTGACAAAGTAGGGACACTGATCTGGTTAACATTTGCACAGAATGTCTTTCCTTAAAGTGAGTCTCCTGTGTACTGTCTATGGTTGGGTCTTGTTTTCCTTACACAGCCACTGTATATCTTGCCTTGGGGAGTTCAGTCAGTGGAAGGACTCCTGTGACCGTTTTGATGTTTTGTGTCTTGTAGCTCCTGTGTCTGTTTTCTTTCTTGCCTTTGTGTTTTATTGATTTTTTTTTTAAACTAGAGACTTGCTTTGATTCCTTTCTCTATTGTGCATAACTTTGTGGTTACATGGACTGTTCATAGAACAACTTATTTTATGTTGATATTTTAATTTTAATCTCATAAAAAATGCTTCCCATTTTATGTTATTGAAGTCACCACTTCACGTTTTTGTAAGCCCACTGGCATATTTTTATAGTTTAAAAAATATTTTTATCTTTTATGCCACTGTAACAGTATTGCTGTATTTACCTTTTATCAGTGAACTTTGTGTGCAGTCGTTGCTGTCTGGCATTGAATCTGCATGTTCATATCCTTCTCTAGATTTGAGGTATTTTTACCTTCATTGCTTCAAGTAAACTTTCTGCTCCTTTGTCTTTTTTCCTAGAGAGACTCCCTTGGTCTGTGGTCCTTTTGATGGTATCTCACAAATCCCTTGGCCATTCTTCACTCTCACTCTTTGTTCCTCTGCTGGGGTCATTCCACATAACCTGCCTTTGAAGTCACTGACTGTTCTGCGTGATCAAATCTTCTAGTGAATTTTTCAATTCATTTATTCTTCAGTTGTCAAACTTCTGTTTGGTTCTTCTATTTTCTCTTTGTTGGTATTCTCGTTTTGTTCATGCATTGTTTTACTGCACTCATTGTGCAGTGATTTGTTAGGTGATTCTTACGCCTTCATTTCTTTCTGGTTGGTTTCTAGTGTTTTATTTTGTTTGGATTGGGTCCTGAGTCCCCGTTTCTTCTTTTGAAACTTAGTGTTGGGGCCCACACTTTTGGGATTGGATTTATACAGAGCCAGATCTTCACCAGCCAGCCAACCTTTTCTGTGGATGTGTTTTCTCTGCATGGGAAGATGTCAGTTCTCCTCCAGAGGGATTTATTCGTTTCCTTTTTGAGGAGCACATAGTCTTTTGCTCCCTCTGGTGTCTGTCTGTCATACTGCAGGTTCTTAGAGCTCTTGCAACTGTTGTTCACCACCGTCAGGTTTCTACAAGTGTCCAGGGATGCCAGGACTTATCAGTACTGCAAGTGCACTGAGACAGAAACCAGTTATTTGGAAGCTCCCTGAAAGCCAGTAACTATTCTGCATGTTCCATACATCTTCTGCCCACTCTGCCCCAAAGAAGAGGCTGTCAAGCTTTATTGGCCTCTGACAGCTATACCATGGGGTCCTTGGAAGCAGCAGCTACATGCCCAGCTTTCTGTTCTCAGAGGCCGCAAGTGACCTTTAGTACGTTGGTTCCTATTAGTGCTCTGATAAAGCGAGGCAGAACCCAGTCTCAGACGGTGTCCTGAAGAGCTGGAATGTTGCACACACATTACAACTCTTTCCTCCCAGGGAGAGGACAGAAGTTGGAGGCTTTCTCCTGCTTGTTCTGTGCCCATTGAGGGTTAGGGACCACGGTGGGTGAGTGTGTCCCTTGTGTGCAGCAGCCCCACCCTGGTCTCTCTGCCTGTCGCACTTAGATGTAGGCATGGGAGAAACGAGACCTTCAGAGAGCCCCCAGAAAAGCCAGGAGCCGGGAGTTTCCTCATCACATCACATGGTGAATGATGTCATGAACTTTCCTTCCTATTCTGGTGCAATTTTTGTCCACTCCTGCAGTTCAGGAGCCTCTACACTGATTTCTGGGTTTGTGTAAAGGGAGCTGGTCTGTGTTGTGGAGCTTGTGTCTCTAGGAGGGGCGAGTGTGAGGCCTTCCTTGTCAGCTACCATGCTGACGTCACAGCCCTCCTATCACATCCTGACAGTTTCTGCTCTCTGAATGGGGGCCTTGCAAGAACTGGGACCACACCATCTCTGCTCAGACTGGATTTCAACATAGACATAGTGATAGAATACAAGCCATACTGGAAGAATTTTAAGGGAATGCAAAGGAAGTGGGAGATATTCCAGCTGGAGAACCTCAGGAGAGGCACTGGCCAAGAGCATGTTTGCAGCTAGGGCTGGAATTGCTTTTTGGGGGATCTTGATACGTTATTCCATGTCCCTGAGCCAAGTTTCCTCAGCCGTACAGTGGGGACATCGTGAGCATGACTTCTTAAGGACGGCATGAGCCCAGATGCCTTGAACCCAGGCAGACCTCGTGTGAGTGACCGTGACAGTGGCTGCTGTCTTGAAGATGCTTGTGCTCCATTTGTTCCAGATGCTGGCCCTGTCAAGGCGCCGACTCGTGTCACCTCCACTCGACGTGACATCGTTCAGACGCTGCTACAGAGGTGACAGCCCGGCAGATTCCCAAAAGGACATGATTGAAATCCCTTTGCCTCCATGGCAGGAGCGAACTGATGAGTCCATAGAAACCAAAAGAGCGCGCCTGCTCTATGAGAGCAGGAAGAGGGGGATGCTGGAAAACTGCATTCTGCTCAGGTGGGTGACGGGCGCCATGGTGTCACCTGTCTTGCAGCAGAAATGACCACCTTTTTGACGTCTTTCTCTTTCTCCTTTTTAGCATCTTTGCTAAAGAGTATTTGCACCGTATGACAGAGAAACAGCTAAACCTGTATGATCGCCTCATCAACGAACCCAGTAACGACTGGGACATCTACCACTGGGCCACAGGTACGGGCGAGGCCCATACCCGCATGCGAGAGAGGGTGACAGGGCTGATCTGAGGCTGCAGTTAGAGCCCAGGCAATTTTTTTCTTTTCCTCACACAATAGACACACAACTTTTGAATTTTTCCAAGGCATACAAGCAGTGAAAACCTCTCTGGTCTGACGTAAGCGAAGCAGGGGTCTAGTGGGTTGTGTCGGAAGTCACAAACCCAGACTGGAAGTGGATGAAGTGGAGGGGCGCCATCGTGGCTCGGAGTCAGGCCACAGGAGCCCCGTGGCAGTCGCGCTCTGGCACAGGGAGGGATAAATTCTCATTGTGTGTAGTTAGAGTTAGCTTTGGGTAGAAGAAGGAGAGCAGAAAGCCAAACCCAAGGCCATAAGGGCTTAAACGAGACGGGGTGCCGTTCTCGCAGCAGACTGGCCCTCCCGAAAGGCGCGGCTGTGGGAGCAGAAGCCCAGGGGCCGGCGGGGCGGGGACGGCAGCTGTTGCAGCTTCGCCAGCTCTTGGTATCGCCAGGGTCTTACTTGGTCGCGTTCTTAGCCGTTCTGAGAAGTGCAGGGAGCTGTATCACAGTAGTTTTAGTTGGTGTGATCCTAATGCCTGAGGAGCTCCTCAGGTGCTTATGTGGTGATGTTTCTCTGCAGATTTTCCCTTCACTGTTTTTTAAAATTCAGTTGTTTGTTTTCCTATTGCTGAGTATTGGATTTTTGGTTTTTTTTTTTTGGTTTTTAAGATTTATTTTATTGATTTATGCATACAAGAGCTGGCGTATAGGTCAGAGGTGCAGGGGGCTGAGGGTTTCATGGTGAGAGGCTTCACCATAGACAGAGTGGGGAGCAGAACAGGCAGATCTACTGAAAATCACTGCTGAGGGGAGCAGCGGGCGGTCAGGAGAGGGCTGCTGCACCCTGGGGTCAGCTCCCTGGCCGGGGATTGGACTTGTGCTGCAGTGGCTGGCAGTAACTTCATAGTGCTGAGACTTACTCCTGATGCCACCAGGGAGGCTGGGTGAGATTTGAGATTAAAGTCTTTCATCAGATCTAAATCTTGATCTATAAATTATCTTAACATTGCCCATCAGAAAGCAGTTTTTTTGTTTGTTTTTTTAATTTTAGTGAAATACAACATAGCAGTTTTTCTTAGTGGATTACGCAATCTGTGAACTTATTTCCATTTATCTAAACCTTTGATTTCTTTAAATCAGTGCATTATTGCTGCATAACAAATTACCCCAGAATTACTGACTGAAAGCAACTCATGTTTACGTCTTACCTCATTGCTTTGGTGAGTTCTGTGCTCCAGGTGGTCTTAAATTACAGCAGGGGCAGGTCAGGGGCCTGGGGTCTCGCCTGGAGGTGCCCCTTGGGGAGGGTGTGTCTCCAGGCTCCCTGGGTTGGCAGAATTCAGTCCCTCTTGGGCTCTTCACCTGTGCGCTTCAGTTCCTGACTGACTGTTGCCTGGTGGCTGCCTTCTGTTCTTTGTCACAGGGCCTCTGCCCCTGGCAGCGTGCTCCTTAAAGCGTGCCCGCCAGGAAGGCATTGGGGCCCCGGGGTCTGCAGCCTCGTCGCAGAGATGTCGTTCCATCATCTTTGCCACATTCTCACGTCAGAATCCTGTCATTAGGTTCTGCCACACTCAAGGGGGGCCAAGCATGGGGCGCCACGCAAGGGCCAGGGACTCTCCCAGAAGTCCGCCTGCTGCAGACTGTCTTAGAGCGTTCGGTCTATTTTGGGCACACTTTCCTAGATTCTGTGTACCGGGCACTTCCTGTATTTCGGTGCTATTGTAAATGGTACTTTTACAAATACAACTGGTATTTGTATGTTGACTTGGTGTATCGTGACCAAAGTCACCTGGTCCCCGAAGCCCTTTTATAGATGCCTCAGGGTTTTCTGGGGGAGGTGGTTGTATTATCTGAACAGAGGGCATTTTCGTCTTCTCTGATATGTCTTCCCTTTAGGTCTTTTACTTAACTAGCTTTCTCGCAGTGGCCTGGGGCTTCCCTGTAGTCTGATGCATTTTCTCTGGATTTTCTTCTATCAGTTACTGAAAGAGAGATGTTGAAATCTCCCACTTTAATTGTGGGTTGGTTGGTAACTCCTTTCAGTACTTGAGAGTGCTGAGGTTTTTGCTTCTGGTATTTTGGATCGGTGTGTGAAGACACACTTAGACTGCTGTGTCTTAGTGAGTCGACTCCCTGGTCACTCTGCAATGCCTGTCTTTACTGCTGAGACTTCCCTTGCTCTGAAGTGTCTGGTGGCAATATAGACCCTACTCCAGCTTGCTTTTGATTCTGTCCACACTGTCTTTTGCTGTGTAGCGAGTTCCCTCGGGTTCCCAGTGCACGTCCTTGGCGGTTTTCAGCAGCGCCCATGTGTCAGCCCATAGTCCTGCTGGGCAGTGGCTCTGCCCCGTCTCGGCATCTGAAGTCAGTGCCAGCAGTTGTGCCCTCCCGTCCGGAAGTTCACCCAGAGTGCCAGGAACGTCCGTTTCCTTGCCATCATCTCCTTAGCTCCCGGTCTTGCTGCAGTGCCTAGAAGCCACTCGGCCCTTCGGTCGGTGGGATGGAGCCGCCCGCGTGTGGGCTCTTGCTCCAGAGCTGCCTTCCTGCTCGCCGCCGGCAGCTGGGAGACTCTGCTGTGTGAGCAGGCCAGGGTCCGGCCGGCTGGCCTGGCCTGGCCTGTGGTCGCGGTCCTGCATTCCGGCGCGCCCCAGGCAGGGTGAAGCCGCCCTGGGCCCGCGCAGACCCCGCGCGGCTCCAGCCAGCCCCCTGCGTGTTTGGGCCGAGCCGCGGCGTGCGGCCTCTCCGCTGTCTTCCCGGCGCTGTGTTCTGGCGGCGCTTGCAGACCTCGCCGGTGCCGGAGCAGAAGCTGCCGCCCGTTTCCTCCTCTGGCCGCGTTCCCGTTTCCTTTTTGTAATTGAGGATTTTAGATTTCACTTTCCTTCCCTTGATGTCCATTATGTGCCCTGATCTTTGGATTTCTTTGGTGTTCGCCCTAGGGCTCAAGTATGCACCTGTGATACGTCTGTTTGTTTTCCAACAATACCACCCGCTCCGTGCATGTTGGAGCTTGAGGCCAGACAGCCGGGCCTCCGCCCACCGTCTGTGCTGTCATTTTCCCACCTTTTCTGACGCTACAGCCTACACTACATTTTCCATTGTTTTATCTTTTAAAGATGTATTTATTTATGCTTAACAGAAGTTTGGTACAGGCCAGAGGTGTGGTGGGTGAGAGGCTTCACCAGAGACAGAGCGGGGAGCAGAACAGGCAGATCGATGACATACACTGCTGAGGGGTTAGTGGGCAGGTCAGGAGCGGGCTGCCAGCCAGTGTGGGTCACCTCCGGGGCAGGGATCGAACTGCAGTGACTTTGGAGAGCTTCATAATGTGGTGCTTTAACCTGTTGGGCCACCAGGGTGAGCCCCCTTTGTTTTATCTTTATTGTGACTTAAAACATGGGAAAAGATACATTATATTTTATTTTTGTAAGTATATAAATTGTAGCATATAAGTACAAATAAATGCATTCCAAGTAAAGTCCAGATACTATGTATAAAGTATATTTTATATTTATCTTCATTTCATCTCTGGAGCTTGTCCTTTCTTCATGTAGATTCATGTTTCTCACTGGCATCATATTCCTTCTGCCTAAGTGACTTCATTCATTAACAGTTTATCTGGCTCTCGTTGGGGTGAATGCAGTCTAGCTCCCAGCATCCTGAGGGGGAGCCTGGACCTCTGGCTTACTTTGACTGTAAAAAAAACACATTCGAGGCCCCGGCTGAGTGAGGGAACCCAAACGTGCTTTTGAGGAACACCCTGTCCCCCTCGAGTCAGGCCTGGTAGGTGGGTAGTTCAGAGCACGTGAGCGGAGCTTTCCCGGGTGGGGGAGGCTGTGCTCGTCAGTTAGATCTTCCAGGAATGTCTCAGGCCGAAGGGACGGTGGTGCTGAGTGCGCGCCCGTACCTGCCGCAGCTGGAGTCCTATCTGCCCTGGCGCCTCTTGCTTGGGCGGTGGCCCTGGGCCTCCCAGTGAGGGTCACTTTGTTGAGTCTCTAGTGTTCTTCCTGGAAATTCCCTTCTGCATACGATTATAATAATGATTAGCATTTCTCCTCATAACTAAGGTCCCTGGAAACTTATAGACTAGAAGGGAAAACAGTCTCAGGACACAATCAAAATGCCAGTGCAGAGCAAGGTCGAGCAGCCTAGACTGGACAGGCCCGTTTGTTCACACTCAGGTAGTGACTCCTGTGGCCTGGTGGCCGTGTGGTCTCTGTTGCGAATGCTCGGCTCTGCTCCCTTAGTGCAAAGCTACGGCCGACGAGCTGTGAACTAGTGGGAACAGCTGTCCAGCGCGAGTGTTTACAGCGCCGGCTGCTGTGGGTGGCCAATTCCTGCCCTGGCCGCTCGCCTACTAGAGGAAGACTGGAGCGTGTCCACAGCTCACCCTGGACGTGGGTCAGCCTCCAGGGCACCGTGATCAAACAGTTGCTGCAGCAAAGCCAGTCACATGGTATTTCTGGCTTCCCAGAAACCACTCTCAACACTGTGTTGAGTCTACAACAGCGTTCTGTCTAAAATATGTTTAGACCTTAAAAATTTCTCTGTTGCTAAAAACGCTAAGCATCATCCACGCCTTCAGTGGATTGTGATCTGTTTTTGCCATGCTGTGCCAGCAGATACACCATGCAGTGCCGCGAAGCACAGGAAGCGGCTCCGGGCCGAGGCCCGCGTGCTGGTGTCAGGGTCGCGGACCTGAGCCCTGACTGACGTGTTCCCGTCTGCCTTTCTTCTGCAGAAGCAAAGCCAGCTCCGGAGATATTTGAAAATGAAGTCATGGAATTGCTGAGGGATTTTGCTAAAAACAAAAACAAAGAGCAGAGACTGCGTGCACCGGACCTTGAATACCTCTTTGAAAAGCAGAGCTGAGTGGGGTGGCCTGCCTGTCACCGGGCGCCTTCCTTGGCCCCGCTGCTCCTGCTCGACACTGGCCTTCGTTACCTGCCTCGCCTTCAGTGCACAGCCCATCCAGGCCGTGGGTCCCGCCTCAAGTGACAAGCCCACCTCTACCCTAGGACTAGTAAACGTTCCTTGACTCTCTCTGACACTATCTTCTGTTCAGTTCTGAGCCTCAAAAGTGGTTCTTCTGTGTGGCCGGTGCTAAGCCTGTCCTCTGGCTCCTGACTCTGGAGACAGGCCTGTGCCACAGGAGGGCGCTGCAGGGGAGGCCGGGGGGCGGCAGCTCCGCGTGAGCCACCAGCCCTGCGCTGGGGGGAGGGCTTTGTTCAAGTGCATTTCCCCCTTCTGACCGCTGTGATCCTCTCTGCCAAGAAAGCTAACCCGCCCCTGAGCTGAATCCTTCAGAAACACAACAGGCAGAATGAGGGCAGCAGGCGGCCAGGTGTGGGCATGCTGCTAAAGAGGCAACATCCTCCTCATCGGGGTGTGTCTAGAATGTTCCCATGTAAGCGGTGAGATGGCTGACTACTAAAGAACATTGGAAAAACAAGGGAAATCACAGTGCCCAGCCCGCGCAGTTATTTTCATTCCCTCTCCTCGTATAATTTATGGTTACAAGTTTGTGGAGTTTTATAAGCCGCGAAGGTAGGTTTCCATGCGGCGCTATAACAAACTTTGTATTTCTACTCTGCACAGTGATTTAATTGACAAAATAACAACACAGGAAATAATATATCAGCGTGAGTCAGTTGGAAGTGTTGAGCTCCCTGGGGTGTTGCTGGCCAAGTGGGCCGGGACCACTGAAGGCTGGCCGTGAGACGGGCAGGCCAGAATGCAGCCATGACAGCCACACGCGCGGAGGAAGCTCACGCTCCAGTGTTGCTGAGCTCTGGGGTCCCCACAGCCTGGCCCCACCTGCCCTTCAGGCTGCCAGCCTTCGGGAGAAGGGACATGAAGGCCTTTACTCTTGGTGCCCTCCAGACTAGGGGCATTAGGCCTGTTTGGGGGGTGCGGAAGCAGACGCAGAGGAAGCTGGTCAGCTCAAGGTCAGTCTGCGTGGTCGAGGCACTCTTGTGTGTCCACAGAGTTCCTGGCCTTTCTGCTGTACTCCCTGCTGTGTAGGGCGCTGCCTGTGGCAGTCCTCCGGCAGGGAGAGCTCACTGTTCTGAGACCTGAGCTGTGTGCCGCAGTCCTCCCAGAGTGAGCAGTTCTCAGCCCCAGGGGAGGCAGCGTGGGCACTGGCTGTGAGCTCCACTCCTGGCTCCGCTGCTCTTTTCAGGAGTCGGCCTGAGCCTCGGTTTCCTCATCTGTAAAATGGGGATGGTGACACTCCCTCTCTGAACTGGAAGAGATTATCAGCTACCACGAGCTAAAAAATAGGGAGGGCCGCTGCCTGGCCCCCTGGACACAGGCCGCTAGGTGTCCACACCGGGCTTCCTCCTGGAACTTAACCCTGCCTCTTGACGCAGCGGGCGGTGGGCAGCCTGGTCTGCAGACAGGAAAGCCACGCCTGACCCAGGGGCCGCGGGTGTCTTACCAGCCAGTGAAGACGGGAGAAGACAGGTGCTGGTCACAAGACCTTTGATGGAAAAAGCTAGCACTCACCCAAGCCAGGAGTGGGAGTGACACCTTCAGGCAGCAGCAGAGCAGGGAGGAGATGTCACCCTGGAGCCGATGACAGATCTGGCCATTCTCTCCGGTCCTCTTGTGTGCTGCGGGAGAATGTCAGGCAGGCGGGGAGTTTACACAGGGAGATAGATGTCTGGGCTGCAGGAATGCACATGAGCTGGGCTGTGACTTGTGACTTGCTCCCTCCTGGACATGTCTCGCAACAGAGCCCAGGAGCCAAGTGCAGGCAGCTCCCCGGGGCTTTGACTCCCCTTGCCCCGTCGTCTCGTCTGACGTGTCAGCGTGCTGTGGGCTGCCACCCCTTGCACCCGGGTGGCGTGCTTCTCAAGGAAGGGTTTCCTTTCCGGCCACTGGCTTGTGTCCTCCCTGAAAGCGAAGGAGCTTGCTAACCTCAGCTGCCCAGTGTCAGGCCCAGGGGTGCGACGTTAACAGTTTTTCTCTTTATTAGGCATTGAGTAAAACTAGGACGGCTAAAGTGCATTTTAAAAAATTAATAAACGTAGAGGGCCAGCAGCCCCCATGGACCCGGGTGAACAGGAGCAGGACTCGCGCTGTTTGACACATCGCTGCTCCCTGACCTCATTCAGAGCCGCGCTGAGCGCCTGGCCCTGCCCTGACCCATCAGAGTGGCCCCGTGGGCCTGCAGGCTCCCTCGTGATTTGCCAACTGGGTCAGTCAAGGCTGCTCTCCTCACCGTTTCCTCTTTAATTCATTTCAAGTCTTGCCCATCCAAGGCCTGTGTGCCTGGGGTGTGTCTGTCGGGGTCATGGGGGGCACCTCTCACTAGTTTGGGGCATTCGCGAGGTCATCAGCTGCAGGTCCAGCACAAGCCTGGTTCATCACTGGGGCAGATTCCACTGGGAGTGTGGCGTGCCTCGCTCTCACCCTCCCATCCTGGCGCTGTCACTGACCGGCCAGGAGGACTCCGCAACCAGGAAACCATGAGGTTTCCCCGGCCATCAGGCCTGCAAGGTTTCTGTGCTGACAGCACTCTGGTCAGTGTCTAGGGGGCAGTGTCAACCCGTCAGTGTCAACCCGCAGCTGTCACCTGCTGATGGCTGATGAGCTCTCAGGTGCTCATGTGATGCTTAGACTCCCAGTGACCCCTCAGGATGAGGCCGGGTGCTGGGCTCTCCCCGGCCAGGAGGTGGCACTGGCTGGACAGGTGGCCTCAGGCAAGTGATGTTCTCTGGGCTTTGAGAAGCAAACCTCCCTGCAGTCATTTGGGGGCTGCTCACAGAAATGTCGAAGCTGTCTAGAGAACTAGCAGGCTTATGGGGCAAAGGCCGGGGAGGGAAGACCTCTACCACGCAACCTGTAACCACAAGGGAGTTCAGGCCCTACTCTCACCTGAATCCAGACACTCCTGCCACGGAAAAGAATATTCTCTGGGAAGGCAGTGTGGGCTCACTGTCTTACGTAACTACATAACATGTTTTAAAAAGGGAACTGACGTGAAGATGTACAGGTTATTAGCTGGCATGTAATGAACTGCTGCCTCTGGTGACACGTGCCGGGGAGGTGGAGGCGAGCTGTGCAGGCGGCACTCGGCCGTCAGGGCGGAGCTGGAGCCTGGGTCTGTGAGGCCAGCTGGTGGCCTTGAGCATGTTATTTACCTTGGCCTGTCCACCTCAGCCTCTTGTACGAAAAGAGGAGAGACAGCAAACCTCTCCTAATGTGCATGTAAGAACTACATGAATCCCGCTTGTAACGTGCTTAGCACAGCCCCTGGCACCCTGGGAACAACCCAAGGAAGAAGCCAACACTTGTTTGCCCGTGGGGCAGAGGGCAAGGGTGACGTTTGGAGCTTTCTGGGTCTTCTCGTCACTGCCCTTTCCCTCCAAGTTGGAGACCCACCGGCTCTGAGAGCCGGATGTGCCCAGTGGAGAAAGCCACATGAGCCCCACTCCAGGCCCC